TGACTGTGGAAATTAAGTGTATTACAAAGTTGTTATCAGAAAAAATAAACCAGTTTTATTGAAGAAAGGACTTGTGTCGCTAAAGTTATATCGGAAAGAAATTATACAGGAAATTAACTAACGACCAGAGACGTAACAATATATTAGTCTATGATAAGAGAATTACAGAACACTGACTTGTACCTGATGATTTTATATAATTGATGATCTATTAGTAAACTGTAAATGAATGATAATTCATGATACGGTAACAATTTCAAAATCCACGTGAGAAAGTATATCTGTTTTGAAATAGTCGAAGAATCATCACTTGGTTTATAACTAAAGGTTATTATACAATTATGATTGTCAACTCCTTTCCAGTATTGTTCGTTAGCGAAAAAAAGTATTTGATGCTTTGTTAAACTAAGTTTAAATAGTATAGTGTACATAAAGGTAAGTTTTCGCACTGATTTTTAGGTGAAAAAGATAATTCATTGTTTCAAAAATCTATGATAGTTTTGAAAAAAAAAAAGTACATTTTCTGAGTCAGAAACATCAATGATCAAAATATAAGAAGCTTGTTAATAGTTAACTAAAAATTAAATTGTTTGTTGTAGACCAATTTGTGAACGAGTTTATCAACACTACTTGGGATTTCATACTTTTAAACATTAGTGTATAATGAGATCTCATACATTACATAGGTTTATGTAAATATCATAAATTAGAATTGAATAGAGCTTTCCTTCCAAAAACGTATTCTAAACCGACTGAAACTATTTGAACTTACGACCATTTGTCGGCACACTATTAAGTAGAGTGTATGTAATAATTGTACGCTAATTGAAATGTTCCGTCAAATACTGAGAATATACTGTTACGTATCTGCTTGTTTGTTTGTTCCCGGTAGAAATTCTTCCCGGGGATCTTCAGCGATACAAGTCATTTCTTGATTAAACCAGTTTATTCTTCCTCGATACAAACTTTTAGTACACAGAAGTTCCATAATTAGTACGTTTCTCGTCACTTTAAACTTAACAACTTTTATGATACACGTTACAAAACACAGCCATTCACAATCCCGATAACTTTATTCTCTACGAGTGCAAAACACACGCTAGCTCAAAACAGAATCGTAAATTACCCGGAACTTAAAGTAAATACCGTTCCCCTTTTCAAATATCCCCCTATCGCTGGCTTCTCTGCCAGGCCTATGTACTAAGAAAGGTGGCATCTCGAATGCACTCGGGCCTCCCCGATCATTCATGATCATTCGAGAAATTTGACTTACGGTACTGGCGCCAAACGCGCCAGCAGCGTCACGTGACTTCCGATGTCGTAGCAATATATATAGAAAATCAATACTCAAACAGTCAAGCAATACAAATTACACTTATCTTCACAAAGATTGAACAATGTAATGGAAAAGTGCGACATAGTTAGCAACAACTCATATTCATTGAATATATGTATATAATTACTTTCATCCTATTACTCATACAAATTTATTCTGCAAAATAAATAATGTAGTTTATCTACTAACTTGTACTGAATGTAATATGTAGGTCAAACTTCAAATCCATTACATACACGTATAAATTTGTATAAATCTCAAGTTGAAAACAATTTAATGAATTCCATAGAATTAAAGCATTTTAGAATTAATCCGTTTATTTCTGTTAAGATAACTATATTAGGAACTCTTAATGAAGAAACCAACAGACTTCAACGAGAGAACTTCTGTATTTTGAAATTAAGAACATTATATCCTTATAGTTTTGTTTGGAATTAAGCACAAAGCTACACAATGGGCTATCTGTGCTCTGCCCACCACGGGTATCGAAACCCGGTTTCTAGCGTTGTAAGTCTGCAGACATACCGCTGTGCCACTGGGGGGCATATCCAATATTTTAATAATTATACTGCTTTTAATTTGAGCAATAATTACTGTATCGCTATTTTTTTCTTTATAGATAGCTTTTTTCATCAAAATAAGAAAATAAGGGGTAAAAGAAAAAATAATATTAAAATAGGTTAATTTTTAGAATTTTGTAATAATTTAGATAATATATTTTATTTTAATATTAATGTACGTAAATTATTTTTAAAAAGATTTATTAACTTAATCTTACTAAAATAAGAACATTAGTCAATGTAATTAAAAAGTTTGATTCTCGAAACGATCATGCAAAACATTAAGATTTAGACATTATAAAATATCGATTAAAAGTTAATGATTTATCAAGCTTTGAGGCCTCCCAGTAGCACAGCGGTATGTCTGCGGACTTACAACGCTAGAATCCGCGTTTCGATACCCGTGGTGGCAGAGCACAGATAGCCCAATGTGTAGCTTTGTGCTTAACTTCAAACAAATCAAGCTTTGAAAAAGAAAAACTGCAAATTAAGACTCTGTATTTGCTAATTAATTTTAAATAAAGTATTAATGGCTTGGAGATTTTTAAAATTATTCATCAATATATAAAAAATAATATTTTTTCCTTGTAAAAACTTAAAGCCTAGAGTTAGTTATAGGTACGAAGTTCCAATCGGTCAGCTATTATGAGTTTTTTAACTCATTTAAATATAGATGAAGTCAATAATTTATCGTTTCATCGTTAAGAAATATAATTCAAGAATTACAAGAAAAATAAAGTTGTTTAAACATTTGTTTAACAACAGTAAAAGCTTGGAATGGTCTATTCTTTCACTGGGGTGTATCTCT